AAGCATGTGAAGGTATTTTACTGTTTTAGACTAGACTTCAATACCATGAGTTATTCATTAGCTGTTATAAACTGGGTGGTTCGAGCCCTTAATGCTGATTGGCTGACAGCCATAGTATATCAGACCGTATACCACGGGTATGACGAAACATAGATTTCTACTGCTCTAATTACGTTGGTAACCAGTTTATAATAGCAATAAGGCACCTCAGGGGTTTGTGGTATATGTCCAGGTCTAGTCATTTTTATCTGAAGTAAGGAATGTTTGATGGTTTCTCAGTCAACAATGACTCCTACTAAACACCTTTTTATTCTTTAACTGAGTATAACAACTGTTGAGTTCCTAATTGTAACCTGTTGTCTCCGTTGTCTCCCATCAGGTTGGGGCGAGGGGTTTGTAACCTGTTGTCTCCGTTGTCTCCCATCAGGTTGGGGCGAGGGGTTTGTAACCTGTTGTCTCCGTTGTCTCCCATCAGGTTGGGGCGAGGGGTTTGTAACCTGTTGTCTCCGTTGTCTCCCATCAGGTTGGGGCGAGGGGTTTGTAACCTGTTGTCTCCGTTGTCTCCCATCAGGTTGGGGCGAGGGGTTTGTAACCTGTTGTCTCCGTTGTCTCCCATCAGGTTGGGGCGAGGGTTTTGTAACCTGTTGTCTCCGTTGTCTCCCATCAGGTTGGGGCGAGGGGTTTGTAACCTGTTGTCTCCGTTGTCTCCCATCAGGTTGGGGCGAGGGTTTGTAACCTGTTGTCTCCGTTGTCTCCCATCAGGTTGGGGCGAGGGGTTTGTAACCTGTTGTCTCCGTTGTCTCCCATCAGGTTGGGGCGAGGGGTTTGTAACCTGTTGTCTCCGTTGTCTCCCATCAGGTTGGGGTGAGGGGTCGCCCCTCCACTACTCAGAGGGCCACTCCAACCGTCTGCTGTCCCTGGAGAAGACGTTTGATCGTCCTGCTAAAGACTCCCAGTGTCACCATATGCTGAAGCACCTCCGCCACGGGGCCCGCATCACCGTCCAGATGCCCCCCAACATAGAGGGGCACTGGGTCTCCACCAGGTATGACTAACCCAGGCTCCAACCCTAACTCTAATCCTAACCCTAATTCTAATTGAACCCTAACTCTAATCCTAACCCTAACTCTAATCCTAACTCTAATTCTAATTGAACCCTAACTCTAATCCTAACTCTAATTCTAATTTAACCCTAACTCTAATCCTAACCCTAACACTAATTTAACCCTAACTCTAATCCTAACCCTAATTCTAATTGAACCCTAACTCTAATCCTAACTCTAATTCTAATTTAACCCTAACTCTAATCCTAACCCTAACACTAATTTAACCCTAACTCTAATCCTAACCCTAATTCTAATTTAACCCTAACTCTAATCCTAACCCTAACTCTAATCCTAACTCTAATTCTAATTTAACCCTAACTCTAATCCTAACCCTAATTCTAATTGAACCCTAACTCTAATCCTAACCCTAACTCTAATCCTAACTCTAATTCTAATTTAACCCTAACTCTAATCCTAACCCTAACACTAATTTAACCCTAACTCTAATCCTAACCCTAATTATAATTTAACCCTAACTCTAATCCTAACCCTAATTATAATTTAACCCTAATTCTAATTTAACCCTAACTCTAATCCTAACTCTAACTCTAATCCTAACTCTAATCCTAACCCTAACTCTAATCCTAACCCTAACTCTAATCCTAACCCTAATCCTAACCCCAACCTTAACGCAACATAGGGTGACATTGGGGCCGGTATTCAATCAAAGGTGTGTTGTAGACAAGCGCGTTGCTTTTGACTTTTAAGGTAATTTACAGTTTAACCGAAATCCGTAGCGTTTAACTTTAATGCGATCTCTGCAAATTTCGGGAACATTGCCTGTAGTGCAGGGTGCTTTTGACTGAATCTTTGTCTACACCAGGTTCACTTTCTGTCTGGGGGGGGGGGGGGGGGGGAGATACTCAGACATATGCGAAAGAGTCAGTATGATGTTTACTAACCACACAACTCAAACTCCCCTCCACATCCACATCTCTCTCCGACGGCCAGCTGTGAGGTGCGCCCTGGCCCAGAGTTCCTGACGCGGTCGTACCGGTTCTTCCCCAACAACACGTTCCAGGCCAACCAGTTCTACTACGGGGACCACCACTGCACCAACCCCACCTACACCCTGGTAGTCCGGGGACGGCTGAGGCTTAGACAGGCCTCCTGGATCATCAGAGGAGGAACAGAGGCTGACTATCAGCTCCACCGTACACAGGTAGGACGGTGTGTGTGTGTGTTCTAGCACGACTACGTGTGTGTCTGTGTCTCCGTGTGTGTCTGTGTGTGTGTTTATACAGTACATGTGTATCTATCCCAGGTGGTGTGTCACAGCGCGGCGGTGGCCCAAGACCTGAGCCAGCGGTTGAACCGGAGCTGTCGTGGCGCCGTGAGGAGCAATGCACCATGGGAACCCAATGTGAACTATGAGCTGTGGAGTGAGGAGGGCGGCTGTGACTGCTCCAGGGAGCTCAACTTCTCCATGCACGAGCTGCAGGTTAGTGAGGAGGGCTACTAACTGGAGGGTGGCCGGTTCAAATCCCGTGCCAGACAGGAAAAAAATCTGGTTGAGAGTGGGCTGGCAGCTATATGCCATATCCAGCTGTTGAGCAAGGCACTTGACCTTTAAAAACGGCTCATGGGGCATTGCACCGTGGCTGCCCTCTGCTCAGACCTCACCAACCTGTGTGTTTATGTCTTTCCAAGGGAGAAAGTAGAAGACAACACATTTCTGTTGATCTTTTTATTTTGTATTTTATTTTATCTAACCTTTATTTAACTAGGCAAGTCAGTTAAGAACAAATTCTTATTTACAATGACGGCCTACACCGGCCAAACCCGGACGACGCTGGGCCAATTGTGCGCCGCCCTGTGGGACTCCCAATCGTCATTCTTCTAAATTGGACACTAACTTATTCTTCTTCCCCCCCCCTCCTCCTCCTCCTCCTCCTCCCCTCCCCCCTCCTCCTCCTCCTCCTCCTCCCCCCCTCCCCCCCCCCCCTCCCTCCTTCCATCCTCCTCCCCTCCCCCCCCCCCTCCTCCTCCTCCCCTCCTCCTCCTCCTCCCCCTCATCTCATCCCCCTCCCCCCTCCTCCTCCTCCTCCTCCTCCCCCCTCCCCCTCCCCCTCCTCCTCCTCCTCCCTCCCCCCTCCCCCCCCTCTCCTCCTCACCCCCCCAAGGGGAAAACTCCCCCATTGCACAGGTCGCTGTTCGTGGTGTCGTGTCAGCACGCTGTGGTGTCAGTGTCTCGGTGTTTGGGGGAACCGTACTGTGTTTCCCGGGGGGGGGCAAGGCCGGGGGCCCAAACCCGGCCCGGGTTTTAAGGGCGTTTGGGCCCGGGACAAAACCCCGGGGAACCCAATGTGAACTATATTGGGGGGGGGGGTTATCTCCAGGGAGAAATCCCTTTGGGGGGGGGTGAGGGGTTTTAAAAAAAGGGGGGGGCCTTTAAAACCTTTAAAAAAAAAAAAGGTATGGGCGGGGACCCACCCCCACAACACCCTTTTAAAAACCCAGGGGCCCCAAAGGGGGGCCAACCAACAAGGGGTTTTTTTAAGGGGGGGGAAAAAAAAAAAAAACAAAAAGGGGTTTTTTTCAACCTTTTTTAAAAAGGAAAAGGGAGCCAAAGCTTTAAAGGCCCCCAACCCCCCCCCGGGCCCCGGGCCCAAGTTCCCCCCGGGGGGCCCCAAAAGGGCCCAAAAAAAAAAAGGAGGGAAAAAAAAAAAAAAAGAACCCCAACAAAAAGGGGAAAAAAAATTTTAAAAAAAAAAAAAAAACCCAAGGGGGACCCCCAACCCCCCCAAAAAAAACACAAAAAAAGGGGAAAAAAGAAAAAAAATTTTCAAAAACCCCCCTCCCCAAAAACCCAAAAAAAAAACAAAACCCCCCACCCCCCCCCCAAAAAAAAAAACAAAACCCAAAAGGGGGCCCCCAAAAACCCCCAAAAATAAACCCAAAGAAAAGCCCCCCCCCAACCCCCCAACCCCCCAAACCCGGGGGGGCCCCCCCCCCCCAACCCCCCCCCCCCGAAAACCCCCCGGCTTTTGTTTTCCCCCGGACCCCCGGGGGAAAAAGGGGGCCCGACCCCCTTTTTTTAAACGGGAAACCCCCCCCAAAAAAAAAAAAAAAAAAAAAAAAACAGGGCCCAAAACCCCCAAAAAAAAAAAATAAAAAAAAAAAACCCCCAAAAAAAGGGGGGAAAAACCCTTAAAAAAACCCAACCCAAAAAAAAAAAAAGGGAAAAAAAAAAAAAAAAAAAAAAAAATTTTAAAAAAGGGAAAAAAAAAAAAAAAAAGGGAAAAAAAAAAAAAAAAAAAAAAAAAAAAAAAACAAAAAAAAACCCCAAAAAAAACCCAAAAAAAAAAAAAAAAAAAAAAGGGAAAAAAAAAAAAAACACCCCCAAAAAACCAAAAAAAACCCAAAAAAAAAAAAGAAAAAAAGGGAAAAAAAAAGAAAAAGGAAAAAAACAAACCCCCAAAAAAGGGGGGGGGGGAAAAAAAAAAAAAACCCCCCAAAGGGGGGGGGGGGGGAAAAAACCAACCCCGGGGCCCAAAACCCCCTGTCCTCACCAACGAACCCCCTTCTTCCTCCAAAACCCCCCTATCCCCGTATACTACGTCCCCCTTCCCTATTCAGGCCCGGTCGTGCTTACTGCGCGGTGGCAGGCCGGTAGTGACTGTTCCTTGGTCAGTGCTTCGTGTGCAAGGGGAATCCCCTGGAGTGCAGGCAACGACGGTAAAGGGGGGGGAAAAAAAGGGTAAGAGGGGGTGGAAATAGCCATAGCGGGGTTTAGCAAAGGAGGGAGAGAGCAGAGGGGAAGCATGCCGCATTATTCCCCTATCGCCATACCGCAGGCCCCTTCCCCTTTTTCATCAGCTTCGGAAAAAACGCGAAAAGTAGACGGAAAATACAGAAGAATGAAGCGTAAGTGACAAGAGAAGAGTGGCAGTAATGACCAAACGCACGCGACATGGTTCATGTCACTGGGAGCTGCGCGTAGGAGCAGACTCGATCAACGGACTCCTGGTTGAGGAGTGTGCCAGCGGAGAATCCGCACGGAGGTAGCAAGTGTCAGCCGTACAAGCTGCGTGGTTGTCATACGTGCAGCGTGATCGCTGCGTAGTGTCAGTGAGCCAGCGGTGTCAGCTTGCGTGAGGTAGTTGTGCACGATGCGGTGTGTCAAGTGTGCAGCGTGTGCTGAGTGTGACAGTGCGTCAGCGTGGTGTCAGTGCTGCGGGGTCGTGAGCGTCGCTGCGTGTGTCAGTGCTGCAGTGGTGTCATTCAGCGTATCGCGCGTGGTGTCAGTGTGCAGAGTGTCGCTGCGTGGTGTCATGTGGGAGCGTGGTGGGAGTGATGGTGGTGTCTGTGCATGATCCAGCTGCGGGGTGTGGAGCGTGTCGCTGCGTGGTGTCAGTGTGCAGCGGGTTAGTGCTGCTCGTGGTGTCAGTTGCAGCTAATCGTGTGGTTCGTCAAGTGTCACTGCGTGGTGTCATGTGCAGCGTATCGCTGCGTGGTGTCAGTGTGCGGTCGGCGGTGTTCCGTGGTGCAGTGTGCAGCAGTTCGCTGCGTGTGTCAGTGTGACTTCGCGTGGTGTCAGTGTGCAGCGTGTCGCTGCGTGGTGTCAGTGTGCTGCGTATCGCTGCGTGGTGTCAGTGTGCAGCGTGTCGCTGCGTGGTGTCAAGGTGCAGGGTCGATGCGTTGGTGTGAAGCAGTCTGTCGCTCGTTTAGTCAGCTGTGCAGCGTGGGTCAGGCTGCGGTGGTGTCAGTGTGCAGCGTATCGCTGCGTGGTGTCAGTGTGCTGCGTGGTGTCAGTGTGCAGCGTATCGCTGCGTGGTGTCAGTGTGCAGCGTATCGCTGCGTGGTGTCAGTGCTGCGTGGTGTCAGTGTGCAGCGTATCGCTGCGTGGTGTCAGTGTGCTGCGTGGTGTCAGTTTTGCAGCGTGTCGCTGCGTGGTGTCAGTGTGCTGCGTATCGCTGCGTGGTGTCAGTGTGCAGCGTATCGCTGCGTGGTGTCAGTGCTGCGTGGTGGTCAGTGTGCAGCGTATCGCTGCGTGTTGGTGTCAGTGTGCTGCGTGGTGTCAGTGTGCAGCGTATCGCTGCGTGGTGTCAGTGCTGCGTGGTGTCAGTGTGCAGCGTATCGCTGCGTGGTGTCAGTGTGCAGCGTATCGCTGCGTGGTGTCAGTGTGCTGCGTATCGCTGCGTGGTGTCAGTGTGCAGCGTATCGCTGCGTGGTGTCAGTGCTGCGTGGTGTCAGTGTGCAGCGTATCGCTGCGTGGTGTCAGTGTGCTGTGTGGTGTCAGTGTGCAGCGTGTCGCTGCGTGGTGTCAGTGTGCTGCGTATCGCTGCGTGGTGTCAGTGTGCAGCGTATCGCTGCGTGGTATCAAGTGCTGCGTGGTGTCAGTGTGCAGCGTATCGCTGCGTGGTGTCAGTGTGCTGCGTGGTGTCAGTGTGCAGCGTGTCGCTGCGTGGTGTCAGTGTGCAGCGTGTCGCTGCGTGGTGTCAGTGTGCAGCGTGGTGTCAGTGCTGCGTGGTGTCAGTGTGCAGCGTATCGCTGCGTGGTGTCAGTGTGCAGCGTGTCGCTGCGTGGTGTCAGTGCTGCGTGGTGTCAGTGTGCAGCGTATCGCTGCGTGGTGTCAGTGTGCAGCGTGTCGCTGCGTGGTGTCAGTGTGCAGCGTGGTGTCAGTGCTGCGTGGTGTCAGTGTGCAGCGTATCGCTGCGTGGTGTCAGTGTGCAGCGTGTCGCCGCGTGGTGTCAGTGTGCAGCGTGTCGCTGCGTGGTGTCAGTGTGCAGCGTGTCGCTGCGTGGTGTCAGTGTGCAGCGTGGTGTCAGTGCTGCGTGGTGTCAGTGTGCAGCGTATCGCTGCGTGGTGTCAGTGTGCAGCGTGTCGCTGCGTGGTGTCAGTGTGCAGCGTGGTGTCAGTGCTGCGTGGTGTCAGTGTGCAGCGTATCGCTGCGTGGTGTCAGTGTGCTGCGTGGTGTCAGTGTGCAGCGTATCGCTGCATGGTGTCAGTGTGCAGTGTGTCGCTGCGTGGTGTCAGTGTGCAGCGTGGTGTCAGTGCTGCGTGGTGTCAGTGTGCAGTGTATCGCTGCGTGGTGTCAGTGTGCAGCGTGTCGCTGCGTGGTGTCAGTGTGCAGCGTGGTGTCAGTGCTGCGTGGTGTCAGTGTGCAGCGTATCGCTGCGTGGTGTCAGTGTGCTGCGTGGTGTCAGTGTGCAGCGTATCGCTGCGTGGTGTCAGTGTGCAGTGTGTCGCTGCGTGGTGTCAGTGTGCAGCGTGTCGCTGCGTGGTGTCAGCGTGCAGCGTGTCGCTACCCAGAGGATGTGCTACAGCCCCTTTAGATACCAGGAAGTATTTCAGAACACCAAGGTGAGTTGCCTGTTGTCCACTTCCTGGTTCCTAGACTGGCTTCTATTGGTTTCAGTTGACAATTTCAGTGGCTGTTCAGTTTCAATTTTAGGGGCCTGTTTCTAGTTATGACCACTTACTGCCTCCTAACACATGACAGTTGGTTTTCCACTTCTTTTAACATCAAGACATTTTATTCCCTGACCAAGGCTTTTTGGGAGGATGTGATTTCAGATATTAACATAGTTGAACAGCAGTTGTCCTGCTCCGTGATACCTTATAGTGACGTTTTAACACCAGACCCTTCAGAGAGATTACCCTGAGATCCTCTGATCTGGTCTGCCTAAACAAACATTACATCTGTACACCGCTGATCCAGCTCCGTATCACTGGATCCTGAAAACGCGAACACAGGGTGTATTCCAAACAGCACCCTATTCCCTTACACAGTGCTTGATTTAGGAGGTTCCAGAACAAAAAGTGAGCTGAGAGGGGGGGTGATCTGGGGGGCTATGAGGTACTGGAACGCAGTAAAACAGGGGCGGCAGGTAGCTTAGTGATTAAGAGCGTTGTGCCAGTAACTGAAAGGTCTCTGGTTCTAATCCCCAAACCGACTAGGTGAAAAATCTGTCGATGTGCCCTTGAGCAAGGCACTTGACCCTAATTGCTCTGGATAAGAGCGTCTGCTTAATGATGTAAATTAAAAGAATATCACCTTGATAATAAAGCATTGCATGAATGATCATTGTTTTTTTTGTGCTGGCATAGAGCAGTAGAGTAGAGGCACACATAGGAGAACCAAAAATGTAAGCCTAGGATCTGGAATTTTTTTTTGGCCTTTTATAAAAGTATTTCATGCAATTCTACATCATTTTAGATGACTGGAGACTTTATCAGAATCAGTTTTTTAATACCTCACAGGTGATCAAAGTGACAGGCTACCTTGACGTTGACAAACGGAGAATCGGAGATCAATAAACCCACCTTGTCTTGAATCTATTAATAGCTTATAGGTGTGTGGAGACACATGTTGTATAACATGAGGAGTCCTAAAACAGCTTTCCAGTTTCACTGACTCACCCAATGATGCGCAGCTCACTCACCGTCGATGGCCGACGCACTCTGCCAAAAGTCTACCTCTCTCTAGTTTGACTTTGTGTAGAACGATGCTGTTCGCTCAGTAGGCCTATTTGGAAGTTGATACCATATATGGTAGCCTACAGACAGATCAGTCTCCTCTGTTCACCTGACAGATTCGCCGCGCGTTCCCGACTGTAGGCTATGCCGCGTGATTGGGCTACACACAATCCCCAGCTAGGCCATTAAAAAAATAAAATAAGCCTTTGATCCTCTGTGGCTAAATTATAGACCTACTCCTGGTGTAGTATTCTGAATTATTTCCATTTCTTTCTGGACAGACAGATGTATCCGGGGTGCTGCATGATGCAGTGCAACGCTGGAGAGCAATGGTCACGAATTGTTCATAGGCGACAATGTTGCGCAAACCATAATCCCGGGCCGACCCAACGTTAATCCATTCTTAGAATATTAGGCACATTTTTAAGGGGGCAGGAGAATTACAGAGGAGGCAATTTAAATTAACTCTGATTATATATGGGCGGCAGGTAGTTTAGTGGTTAAGAGCGTTGTGCCAGTAACCGAAAGGTCGCTGGTGCTAATCCCCGAGTCGACTAGGTGAAAAATCTGTCGATGTGCCCTTGAGCAAGGCATTTAACCCAAATTGCTCTGGATAAGAGTGTCTGGTAAATGTTATAATTTTTACATTGCAAACGGTGAACATCATTTTTCATGCCACGAGGAGGTGCTGGATCCTGGCAAATGGGTTCCGGAATGAAACAGTCCAAAACTGAGAGGTGCCAGATCCTGTTCCGGCAGGATCTGGCTAAAATTATGCATTACTTTTGACCAGAGCCCTAATACAGTTTTTTTTCCAATTGCTAACATGCATTGGTCAAAACTGAAGTCACATTGTCAAACCTCTTCACGCAGTCGGCGAAACAGAAGTGTATGTGGACCGAACTGTGAATCATTTTTCATTGCTTTCACACAAAATGCATTCAGTGACCACGTTCTCTGAAATCCATGAACTATTTTCTCATTCATACTCCACCACCTGCAAAACTATATATTTGCAGCACGCTTTCAAATGCTAACACACTGTTTCTAAAACTGTTAAAAACACAATGATGGCAAATGTCGTGCATTTCTGCAGTAACCAGATTGAAACATAGAGAAAATCTCAGCAGAATATTTCATCATTCCAAACACAGCTGATTGCAACTTCAGCTGAAAGACTACCCATGTGTCCTGTTTTTAGTGTCGTTACCAAACAGACAAAAGAGGACGCTTAGGAATGATTTAGTTTGGAAACAAGGATCTTGGAAGACAGGTTGGTGGGGAAAGAAGAGTGGCAGGGAGAGGGAGACCAAGAGCGGAGGTCTCTGATGAGATACGGGCCACAATTATTGACCATCTCTCTTTGAGAGAGGCCGGTTTAAGGGTGCAACCAAATCTGCCACGTTCAACAGTTGCACAAATAGTACGAATCTTCCGGCAAAACAACAGGTGAGATGTGCATCCTTCAATGATAACTGAACTACATATTACAGTAGAATACAGTATGTTCACATTTTTACATGTACTGACATTTTGAAACATATTGATTGTTTTGTTTTTCAGTGCGATCCAAAGGTTGCCTCCCACAGGAGGGAGAACCAGAATATTATCAGATGCGCAGGAAATTGTCATTGTTGACATGGTAATTGTTGACATGGTAATTGTTGCCATGGTAATTGGCACCAATGCAATAAAACAGCGGGAAATTCGGGACAGAGTGCTGGCAGACAATATCACTTTTGGGAATGTGAATACGGTCAGCACAACGACAATTGCCAGAGTCCTAGAGAAAACGTAAAAAATAAGGATGAAGCAGTTGTACACTGTACCCTTTGAGAGAAACGGTGAACGTTTGAAAGAACTCCGGTATCAATACGTCCAGGTGAGATGTCTGTTCAGTAACCAAACAGGGGACATACACAGCTATGCATAATGTAAAGTACTGTAAAACTGTGGATTGACTGTATTTTAGAGAGTAATGGAGATGGAAGCCAGGCAAACTGCACGTACATTCATCTTTCTGGATGAAACTGGATTCAACCTGGCAGAAACACGCCGCAAGGGCGGCAGGTAGCTTAGTGGTTAAGAGCGTTGGGCCAGTAACCGAAAGGTCTCTGGTTCTAATCCCCGAGCCGACTAGGTGAAAAATCTGTCGATGTGCCCTTGAGCAAGGCACTTAACCCTAATTGCTCCTGTAAGTCGCTCTGGATAAGAGCGTCTGTTAAATGACTGAAATGTAAATGGAAGAAATGTGATTGGACAGAGAGCGACCGTGGATGTCCCAGGCCAGAGAGGAGCTAACATCACAATGTGTGCAGCACTGTCCAATGATGGTTTTGCTGTTACACAAACCACTCATTGGCCCCTACAATACAGAGAGGCTCATTTCTTTTCTGGATGACCTGCGTAATCGACTTGTGCCAGCGGAGGAGAGAGGGGCAAGAAACTCCCCTACCTTCGTTGTTGCGTGGGATAATGTGGCATTCCAGCACTCTGCTGCAGGCACAGACTGGTTTGCTACACATCCCAGAATGTCAGTACTATTCCTGCCTCCATACTCCCCCTTCCTAAACCCCATAGAGGAGTTTTTCTCTGCGTGGAGGTGGAAGGTTTATGACCACCATCCACATGACCAGATGTCCCTACTGGATGCCATGAATGCGGGTTGTGGAGACACTTCTCCTGAAAGACTGCCAGGGTCGGATTAGACATTCCAGAAGATGTGATGTTGGTGAGAACTTGTGGCCAAATGCAGGAGAGCGGGATCACTACAACCCTCACGGTGCTGAACAGTATGAGGGATTATACTATACATGGTGTTGATGTTTTTTTGGGGGGGGGGTAATTATTATTGCAGCCCTGGAATTTCAGGAATTTTTGTTTTGTTTTCACAAGTAAATTATTATTATGCAAAGATATAGAACAAATAAAGGCTATTGAAGCACATTTCTGCATTTCTGAATCATTCTTGTTACACATACTTTAGTACAGTCAGTAAAGTGAAAAGGTGTTAGTCTTATTCCATAATGAAATACTGATTTATGTGAAAAAAATCATTCAAACTTCAAAGTGGAAAGATAATCATTTATGTAATGCTCCCTGTTGTTAGTGTTTTTTAGGTCAGTGTGTTATGAGTGACAATGTATGCTTTCTGAGTGAGAATTGTTGCCAGTGTTATGGTCGAACAAGCTTATTTTGAGACACGTATGAAGTGTTTTGGTGGTTTTAGTGAGTTTTTGGAGGTGAGATTAACTGTTTGGCCAAGATGCATGTTGGTAATGCAGACTGTGTGAAGAGTTTTGAAAAAATGGCTTCTGTATTGACCGATGCTTGATAGCAATTGAAAAAAACTGTAATAGTACTATACAGATGTAGGATCTTAATTTGATCACTCTTTTGCTGCTGAGAATTTTTATGCACAGCAGGACATGCAAACTTGTAGTGTATTTGAGTTTTAAAAAGGCTTCTACAGTTTGTAATTTCCACTTTGACATTTCAGACTTGATTTTCCCTAATGAAAAATGTATCAACCCCTACAAAAATGTCCATGAATTATAATCTACATGATACTTCACATTTCTTGTTGCTGCTGGGTTCTTTTCCTGCTGTAGCAAACTGACTTAAATTAAGACCCTACATCTGTACTGTATAGGGATTAGGGTGCCATTTGGGACACAGACAGTGGTTGGGGTGAGGAGCCCTGACTAGACAAGCTGCCCCTAACGACCAGTGGTTGGGGTGAGGAGCCCTGACTAGACAAGCTGCCCCTAACGACCAGTGGTTGGGGTGAGGAGCCCTGACTAGACAAGCTGCCCCTAACGACCAGTGGTTGGGGTGAGGAGCCCTGACTAGACAAGCTGCCCCTAACGACCAGTGGTTGGGGTGAGGAGCCCTGACTAGACAAGCTGCCCCTAACGACCAGTGGTTGGGGTGAGGAGCCCTGACCAGACAAGCTGCCCCTAACGACCAGTGGTTGGGGTGAGGAGCCCTGACGAGACAAGCTGCCCCTAACGACCAGTGGTTGGGGTGAGGAGCCCTGACTAGACAAGCTGCCCCTAACGACCAGTGGTTGGGGTGAGGAGCCCTGACTAGACAAGCTGCCCCTAACGACCAGTGGTTGGGGTGAGGAGCCCTGACTAGACAAGCTGCCCCTAACGACCAGTGGTTGGGGTGAGGAGCCCTGACTAGACAAGCTGCCCCTAACGACCAGTGGTTGGGGTGAGGAGCCCTGACGAGACAAGCTGCCCCTAACGACCAGTGGTTGGGGTGAGGAGCCCTGACGAGACAAGCTGCCCCTAACGACCAGTGGTTGGGGTGAGGAGCCCTGACTAGACAAGCTGCCCCTAACGACCAGTGGTTGGGGTGAGGAGCCCTGACTAGACAAGCTGCCCCTAACGACCAGTGGTTGGGGTGAGGAGCCCTGACTAGACAAGCTGCCCCTAACGACCAGTGGTTGGGGTGAGGAGCCCTGACTAGACAAGCTGCCCCTAACGACCAGTGGTTGGGGTGAGGAGCCCTGACTAGACAAGCTGCCCCTAACGACCAGTGGTTGGGGTGAGGAGCCCTGACCAGACAAGCTGCCCCTAACGACCAGTGGTTGGGGTGAGGAGCCCTGACTAAACAAGCTGCCCCTAACGACCAGTGCTGCAGAGTTAAGCTCCTCTGGGCAGGAGAGGAGAAACAGGGGAACATGAAACCTGGGGTACGTCCCAAATGACACCCTATTCCTTATATAGTGCACTACTTTTGACCAGAGCCCCAGTGATGTAGTGGTGAAAAAACAGGTGGGTAAATAGTGATCGCCGGTCGCAATGAGAAAAGAAACGCTCAATTCTTTCAATGCATTTTTCCACAAAAGGTGGGTAAACTGTTGGGCAACAAAAAGTGGGTAAACTGCATTTTCTTTACCCTCCACTACACCACTGCCTTTGGACCCTGGTCAAAAGTAGTGCACTTCATAGGGAATAGGGTTTGGAAGGTGAAATCTGGTGCTCCTCCTATCTCTGGTAGTTATCAAAATGAGGTATTCCTAGAATTTGGAATCATACAGTCTTATTAATTATTCCAAAGCAAACATTCCAGCTCGGATTTCATCCATACCTGGGACTAGCTACATAAGAGCTGCATGCCTGGGACTAGCTACATAAGAGCTGCATGCCTGTGACTAGCTATATGAGAAGAGCTGCACAGTTTGAACTCTGTCTCTGTCCCTCTCTCTCTTTCTCTCGTCTTTTCCCCCTCTCTGTCTCGTTCTCTGTCCCTCTCTCTCTTCCCCCCTCTCTGTCTCGTTCTCTGTCCCTCTCTCTCTTCCCCCCTCTCTGTGTCGTTCTCTGTCCCTCTCTCTCTTCCCCCCTCTCTGTCTCGTTCTCTGTCCCTCTCTCTCTTCCCCCCTCTCTGTCTCGTTCTCTGTCCCTCTCTCTCTTCCCCCCTCTCTGTCTCGTTCTCTGTCCCTCTCTCTCTTCCCCCCTCTCTGTCCCTCTCTCTCTTCCCCCCTCTCTGTCTCGTTCTCTGTCCCTCTCTCTCTTCCCCCCTCTCTGTCTCGTTCTCTGTCCCTCTCTCTCTTCCCCCCTCTCTGTCTCGTTCTCGGTCCCCCTCTCTCTCTTTCTCGTCTTTTCCCCCTCTCTGTCTCGTTCTCGGTCCCTCTCTCTCTCTCGTCTTTTCCCCCTCTCTGTCTCGTTCTCTGTCCCTCTCTCTCTTCCCCCCTCTCTGTCCCTCTGTCCCTCTCTCTTTCCCCCCTCTCTCGTCTCTGTCTCTTCTCGTTCTCTGTCCCTCTCTCTCTTCCCCCCCTCTCTCTTGTCTCGTTCTCTGTCCCTCTCTCTCTTCCCCCCTCTCGTCTCGTTCTCTGTCCCTCTCTCTCTTCCCCCCTCTCTGTCTCGTTCTCTGTCCTCTCTCTCTTCCCCCCTCTCTGTCTCGTTCTCTGTCCCTCTCTCTCTTCCCCCCTCTGTCTCGTTCTCTGTCCCTCTCTCTCGTCCTCTCTGTCTCGTTCCTGTCCCTCTCTCTCTTCCCCCCTCTCTGTCTCGTTCTCTGTCCCTCTCTCGCTTTTTCTCTCTCTCGCTTTATCTATTTTGAGCCTGCATTAATGTAGTTATATTTTATCTACCATAAAGCACACTAGCACTATTTCATTTTACATGAGCTCTAATCAAAACAGAATGTAGATACATTCTAAAACATTATCTGAAGATACATTCTAAAACATTATCTGAAGATACATTCTAAAACATTATCTGTAGATACATTCTAAAACATTATCTGAAGATACATTCTAAAACATTATCTGAAGATACATTCTAAAACATTATCGTAGATACATTTAAAAACATTATCTGTAGATAAATTATAAAACATTATCTGTAGATCAATTGTAAAACATTATCTGTAGATACATTTAAAAACATTATCTGTAGATACATTTAAAAACATTATCTGTAGATACATTTAAAAACATTATCTGTAGATACATTCTAAAACATTATCTGAAGATACATTCTAAAACATTATCTGTAGATCAATTCTAAAACATTATCTGTAGATCAATTATTAAACATTATCTGTAAATAAATTATAAAACATTATCTGTAAATAAATAATAAAACACTATCTGTAGATAAGTTGTAAAAGTATTCTCTGAAGATGGTAATTCCTGAGCCAGTACAGGAACAATAGTGGGGAGAGAGTCTCATTCTGTTCCACACAATTTTTGCAAACAATTTAATTTAGTCAGGTAAATGTATTCAAACTCACATTTCACGATATGACATAGTGGTTGGCAACCTTTTAGGCTTTACATTAGAAATGTGCTATTTTTCATGGTTTTTCATCCATGTTTAAAGACATGCTCTGGAACTTTGGCGACTACTAAG